ATACAGTGGTACCTCAGGATACGAAATTAATCCGTTCCGAAACTGAGATCGTATCATGAAAATGTCGTAAGGTGGATCATCTTTTCCCATACGATTACATGTAAAACCAAATGATTCGTTCCAACACGAAAAACATACTTAAATTAAACCCAAGTAATACATTAAAAAAAAAATAACTGTAGTAAGAAAAACAAATGAAAAATGCAAACTAATTTAACGTCGTATGGTGAGTTTTTGTTCGTATTGTGGAGCAAAAATTTGTTCGAATTTCATGTCGTATCCTGAAAATTTCGTATGCTGGGGCGTTCGTAACCTGAGGTACCACTGTATCTAGTGTGTGGAAGTTTTGTTATGAGGGAGCTCGTCCCCATTAATGAATGCGTCTAATTCGTCTGCTTCTACCGTTACGCAAACTTGATATCACACGTGCTTTACAGTCGTTTTAGCGCGTGCGTAACGTTCCATGAGTATTCTTAATCGGTTTATAAATTTTGAATCGTATACGTTCCGTTCCAAATGCGTTCGAATTCCTAAGTAAAGTAGCCTGATGAAGACCTCGATGAGGTTGAAAACGTTTGCTGAGGTGTAAACAAATATCACTGGAGCTGGAAAGGTTGTTTGAAGTGTTGAAGCTACAGTTAAAGTTTGGTAATGATTGGTTCAGTAGTTTTCACGGTTAGTGGTCACAAACGAAAAATACGTTGTCTCTTTATATAGTAGTATAGATTTAATTATTAAGTAGCAGCCATATTATAGCCCAATATAATTTGACAGATCATGTCGCTTAATCAAAAATCAGGTTAATGGATGTTTGTATTTGACAATGGTATTGATATTAAAACTAATACCAATACCTTTGTCAAATACATACATCCATTAACTCAATTTTTGATTATCCAAGTATCCCACAACCAACCACCAGCATTTGGTGGTCTTATCGGTACAACTACACCTCCAAACGAGACAGTCAAGACCTTATCAGAGCCATAGACCATACCCACAGGAGCAAAAAAGTCGCCTCTACATGCAACCCTACATGAAATGCAGCCTCAAAATCAGGTTGCATGCGATCGCTCCGCCAAGACTACCTCATTTAACTATTTAGCTCGGGCAACCATGCCAGCTTCAATCATTTGCACAGTACTCAACATTAGATTTGGGGGACAAAAGGGCAAACCCCTAGAGATGCAAGCAACAACAAGCACCATACAGAGCATCAGTCGAGGCTCTCACTCACCTCAACTGTGGCAGAGCGTGGAGTAGTACTGATTTTCGGAGACTAATCTCTCAAAAGGTTGCAGTTACAGATACGGTTCCATTGATTTTTTACACATACAGGCTAAATCCCTCAAATGGTCACTTATACAGGTATGGTTCATTTGACTTTTTTGTTCCTATGGGTATGTTCTACAGCTCTATTAAAATCCCAAGCGTATCATTCAGAGCTTGAATTGAGCCAAGAAAAGAATAAGAAACGTACCTTTCTTGATGGGGGGTTGAAAATCACTGTTTTCGTCTTCAATTTCTTCATCGTCGATGGTAATAATGTCACCAGATACGATAGAATCTTGGCTGTTCCCATCAGTAGTATCCTCGCGACTGCTACATTCGCCTAAATTCCACGTTAAGGATTTCTGTGACTTATCGTCCTTCTTACTCGGTGCAGAAGTCTTTCTCCGGACCATTGTAAACAATGACAACTGACGTCTGGCAACGCGATTACTCTTGAATGGTCCGACGCATTAAATTCCAATTATATATGCTATTAATTAGGTTCTTTGGTAATTAAACGTCTAAGGAAGACGATTTACTTAGGTTAAATGGTAAAATTACCGTTAAATGCATCTTATGCGTTTTGTTTGTTTGGGTATCGTTAAAAGCCACTTTGCGAGAGGTTGCCATCTGTTTTGCTGTGAGCTCACTCTGCTGGTGAAACTTGTGTGGTTAAAAATTTTGAATTTTTTTTTTAATTAATGGAAAATACAGTTATTTTAGCCAAAATTTGTGATAAATACTGTATAATGTTTTTTTATTTATTTTGTTTGTGTTTTATTATCAATAAAATTTATTATTAATTACTTTTGTGTCCGATCTTTTGTCTCTCATCTTCTGGTTGGGCGAGAGCTACTAGTGTCTGATCTTTTATAATTTATTTTGTAATGTTCGCCCCAATAGAAAATATCTGCGTTATTAAAAAATTTTTAACCTATTACTTTATAATATAAAATTTGAATTACTTGCATATATTATATTTAAAAATATCATGAACTACATATACTATACGTTTACATAATTTTACTATTTACTAACTAGCTAGAAAAAAGACTGACGAGCAGTGAAGGTAGCAGCCTACCGCTCTGGGGACCCGGAATCGAAACTGGACGAGTCAAATAAATCACCACGAATTTTGAATGAAATTTGGCACGATAGCTTGTATATAAGGGGCATTGATGCTATTTTTTTTTTTTTAACTTTTTTCGCCCTGTGGGCACTAAGAGGGCCTTTTTTTAGCAAGTTCGTTACGTTTGGCCAGACTCACAATGGGGCGGCCGGGTGATGAGGGACGGGGCCCGACATATCCAGACGGACCCGTCCGGATTCGATCCCGGATCCCCCAGAGCGGTAGACTGCCACCTTGATCACTTGGCCATCCAGCCGTATTAAATTTTGGTTGTAAAAGGACAAGGTGATAGAGAGATAATAGAGAGGTTACGACCGAAGTTTTCATCTCTCAAACGTGAACTTTGAGCGCCGCTTACAAGATTGCGGCGCTCGTCGTTCGACGTTCACGTTTGAGAGATGAAAACTTCGGCTGCAACCTCTCTAATGTCGTATCTCGCGAGGTATCAGACTTCATGAAGATTTTCCTTGTTGTTAGCATTTAAAAACTTTTATAACACTCATCTCTAACCTCAAAATTAAGTATTTTACTATTTTATAATAATAAAAAATATATAAATTTTTTATAACAATATCTCACAATAGATTTTTTTATTTATAAGATGTATTTAATCTTTGAAATAAAAATACCAAGATGCTGAGAATTTCTTCATCCGTTTTTCAGTATTTCATCTTCATCCGTACTGCGAGAACGCTGTAACCATTTTCATAAATTTATGAACAGTTTATCATGGCCTCAGTGGAAATAAAATCGCAGGAGCAAATAATTGGCACTTCTGAGTTACTTGCAAATATATACAGTATATATTCTTTCAAAGATGACTGTCAAACTACTTCAACGCTATTTTGCTGGTAAGTTTAATAAAAGAAGAATGTTTTTCAGATCATTTTTTGAGTTCTTAATCGGTGGCGAGTTATAGCTTCATGGAGTTCAGATAGATTCGAATTAGGGGATCCATGTGTACAGTGTTGACTTCAGACACATTTCTTCGGAGAATTTTTTTGGGTAAATATTTTCTTATGAAAGATTGATTTGAAACCACATTGTTAAGGGACCCAGGCAATTGTATTTCTGACCTTAAAATAAAGCAGGTAGAGCAGACAAGAAGTAGACAGCGCCTTTCAGAAGTAGCCTAATCTGGCAACTCTGTATCCAAGGGTTGTTTATCACCTCATTCTTGTTTTTATCATAATTACTGTTAGTGACATAGCATTACGTTATCTTACCACACAGGGCCAGATTAACCCACTTTGCGGCTCTAGACATTTTCTTCTTACCGGGCCTCCTCGCTCACAAGAAACAGAGCGCACAAAAAATATAAAATAATAAATAAAACAAAACTAAATAATATGAAAAATTAAAACAAATCTTAAATTTTTATTAATAAAAAATATTTAATATACAACAATAAATTTTAGTTTTTCTAGAAAAGTTTGAACAGTTTGTTTATAACTTTTAAAACATTGAAATTTATTTTATTAAATGTTTAACAGAAGTTGTTATACAATAACAATATTACCTTAAAATATTAATTGTTTAATTTAATCTTTTTTATTATTACTATTTAAATAATATAATATTTTACCCGTGAAAGATAAATTGAATAATGAAAAAGATAATTTAAATAAAAGCCAAGATAGTTTTAAAAAAGTAAGTATATAAATATGAATAAACTTTATTTAAAAATTCTGTTTTCTAGTCTTTAATTCAGCAAAATTACCAATTATTTCATCATAATTAATATTATCCAAAACATTTTGTTCGATGTATAAAAAGCTAAAGAATTTAATTTTGATTCACTCAGTGAGTTTCGTAAATAATTTTTTACACGTTTTAATACTGAGAATGACCTTTCACCAGATGCATTTGATATATGCAAAGTTAAATATATTCGCAATATTGTTTCTATATTTGGAAATGTTGATACTATTTTTGTGCTCTTTATAAATTGCAGCATATCAGATGGCAACGTTAA